AATACTAGCAGCAAGCAGCACTTAAGAATTATTCTACTTAATTCACCTCTTCCAGAAGCAAGACAAAACCAAGCCAGCTTTAATGAATAAACCAGACCTAAAAGTATTTGATTTTATCTTCATGTAGATAAGAAAAGTTCAAAATCTGGCACCTGGTGGAAAGTGACTTTCTTACATTGTATTTTCTATATACTAACAAGGAGCTAGGGGCATGCATTGACAAAATACAGCAGTCAATAGGATCTGACTCTTTGCTGTCAGATCTCTTCCTTTTGCTGTTTGGAAAAGAGGAGACACAGGTTGTCTGAGTACTCCCAAAATCTCTAAAGATGGTTCCACAGTGCACCTACCTTCCTCCTTCACAGCAGCCAATACATTTCCTCTCACTTCATTTAACAGACTGTGACAAATGTGCAGATCTCACCCCAGAAGTGTGCAAGTAATTGACTCAAAGGGAAGAATAAATCCTTTCTTACCTATTCCCCACTTATATTTTTAACAGCACAGCCGTCAAAACACAGCAAATCAATTTTTCCTCCTTACTGTCTCCACTTTGCCTTTTCAGAATATTTTTAGTTGCTCTGATTAAAAATTTACCTCTTAAGTACACTAAGGACACAGTGCATGTCTTGATTACAATTTTGTAAAACTTTTTCAGTCTACCTATGTATCTTCCTTGCAAAGGAAGATGTGGAACCATATCTTTCCTTACTTCCCTTTTCTTTCTAACAAAACGGAAATATTAATAACTAACTTTGAAAGACCAATAGGAAAATAACCTCACAGCAAAATGCAGAAAACACATTTTCAGAATGAAGATGTGAGGCCATCATATCATGGGATCACACAAGATACCTTACACAAGAGAAACATGGCATGCTAAACTGAAAAACACACTTGCAGGTATTGTCCAAAGCAAAGACAAACAACCTCAGCATTTCTGTATTCTGTCTTTGGTGCTGCATTTTAGGGGACAAATTCTCACCCCTGGACTCTTATCTCTCTCTGTCCTCTTCATCAGAGACAACGTGGGTCACAAATACCTTGTGCCACTTCTATCACATATTCTGCCATGTATGATTTACTTGGTCCAGATATGCTTTAATTACCATTCCTGAAATTCTGCATGTGTGCAGCCACAGTACTTATCTGAATGTTACCAAAACATAAAACTGTATGAATGAAGGAATGTAAATCCCTCTTCCTGGGATTCTCCGCATTGATCTGCTTATTCATAGCAGGCAGACACCTTTCTACCTTTTGACTGCCATTTAGCCACCCTTTCTTTTTTGAAATCTGTTTCCTATCCAAAACTGGAGAAGTCTTGACTACTGAAAAAGAGATTACTTTCTGATTTAATTTCTGAAGGTCATTCATATTGATTAGGCAGCTTAGACAAGTTGAGTAGTAGCAGGTGTAAACTTAAAGATATGGACAATAAAACAACCATTGCAAAAAGTAAGGGAAACACCCACCACAGTTTCACTCAGTTTCCTTGGCACTTAGAAAAGTCACAACTTTTCCCTCACATATGCTGGCTGATTCTTAATATACCTGAGTAACAGGTGTGTTAGAGTCATGTTTTGCATTATTCATCTTGAATGAAGTTAAACCCCGACTGTGTGACATTACTCAGTTTACCTCAGTGCTGTGTTTTGATTTTGCTCAGTTAAGTTTACCTAAGACACGTTTAGGCTGGAACAGTTCTTAATTACTCCAGCACAGAAACTTGGCATTCTCCTAAACTTGTGCTTTTCAGCAATGAGACTCCTTTCTGCTTATCTTTAAATTGCCTGCGCTTCCCTAAAAGTTGTCTCAATATTATTACCTTACAAAGCATGTAATCAAGATTTACTTGATTTCAGCAATCTCTTCCTTGCTTAAACAGTTACTTGTCCCATGCTTTTTCCTGCCCGCACTTTCCTTTTCCCTGTAGAGATTTCCCTGTAGAGTAATACATTTTCACTGCTAATACACACCATAACTGCAATGTACTGCAGAATGGGTATCAGTCCAAAGACCAGTGAAATACTGAAAGGTTTCTGAACCACAGAAAAGGCAACTACACAGCATTACACAGGCAGCCTCTATAAAGGATTTTAATTTAAAGACCTCTTTTTGTGTTATAAATTAGTTTTATTTGTATAACATTTTCTATTTTCAGATCTTTATAGTCCAATAACTAAGAAAAGCAGTTTAAGAAGGAAAATAAGACTACCGAATGTCCTAATTCCTCATGAAACTGGTGTTCTTAAAGGATTTTAAAAATCTGAATTTTAAATTCTATTAGTGATTAAATACAAGCATGAACTTAATAGGCTGCTTGTAAGTAACTAACATTCAAAACAGCAGCACTACAATTTTTCCAGTCTTAGACACTTTTCTCCCATCCTCCACAGCAGATTCACTAAAAATTCAAGATAATGGTTACAACTACCTAGATCTGTAACATACAGATCCATAGCAACGCTGAGGATCTCTTATGTTAATTTCTGTGCCCAGAGGCTTTTCTGCAGCACTGAATTAAAGAAGCCACTGTATCATTCCCATAACAAGATGATTATCTAGGAATTAAGACTAAGTAGAAAACTCTTTTCAAAACGTCAGTCTTCCAAGGCCTTTAAAAATCAAAGAAAATTGCTTATGTGGCTTATATCATCAGTTCTCAAAAGTCACATATCTGCACACATCCTGTTGTAAGAAGAAAGGGTAAAGTAACCATTATGTTTTAGTCTTCATTTATGATTCCTTGTTAGTGCAGTAGATAATCTCCTTGGAATTACTGATTTTTAACGGGACATTTGAAAATATTTCTTTTATTGTTGTTGCAGGTGAAAAAAAACAAGAGGACTACAACATCACTTACCAACAATCCATTAGTGTCACCTCTCAAATTCTTCAGATGTAAAGGTGAGAAATTTTTCCTCCTTATAGGGTCAAAACATATTTGGATGTCTGCTGAGTGAGGTTTAAATGGTTTAGAGAACAAAACTAGTAAAGGTCCTAAATCTGTATGACAATCGTCTGTGACCAATCAACCTTCCCATTTATTTGCAGAAGTCACAGAGGGAACCAGAGGTGTATTCCTTGAGGAGGAACAACTGTCATCCCTGGAATATATTCTGGATGAGTCAAAGCATATCAAAGGAGAAAACATACACAGTAGGAAACCAGAGTAGTGAATCCTGTCCCTACCTCACCACTCTACTAGTATGGAAGACAATACTCAGCAAAGAAGAGAAGCATAAGCTGTGAGTTGAGCCGTGGCTGATGCAGTGCTGCTGGCAGGCTGTCACAGCATATGCGGATTTCCCCAGTAAGATGCTGAGAGTAATCACAGAATAATACTGCCACTGTTTGAGGAAGGAGGGAACAAGATTTCTCCAAACTTCCAGACTTGGAAGATCTGCTTGCACTACACATAGGGTTTTCCCCTAGGAGATGATGGAACAATGAAGATAATTGCTGGTTTGGTATCACTGAGGAGAATGTAGACAAAAAGTGGCAATGAGCACTGAGGTGTTACACATACAGTAAACTTTTGGCATGAATGAATGGAAGGACCAGTTCCAGAATGGGGTTCCACAACTCAGTTTTTACCAAAAAATGTTGATTGTACTGTATCAGAACCATCATGATAGAAGACAGCAGGATCTGTGTGCAGAGCCTTCAATGTCTATGTACTTGTGCTGATATTATGGTGCACTCCAAGTGACAGTAAGAAGTTATCCATACCTGCAATAAACTTGCTTCTCAATTTCCCTGAAAGATATACTCTGTTCTTTACAATGAAAAGTACTCATTATCTTATCCTAACCTGTATTTGTCTTCTGCACACACCATCTTGAGTAAGATCCTTTTGCATGATTTGCATGTGAGAAAGACTCAAGAATTAATGACTCAAAGCTTTAAGATGCCCACACAAATTTCATTTCCATTTCTGTTTCTTTACGCAGCACAAACAGTATCATATAACACTACACAAAAAGGGTAAAAAGGAAAAAAACCCTCAAAAAATAAAAATCCACTGAAAGGCCATGAAAACTAGGCTATAGAATAATCTATTCATCTGGCCTGCATCACATATCAAATTCAAAAGAACAACAGAGTTAAATACCTGGATGTAGAAAGCAGAAAATAAAAATATCTATAGGTGTTGGAGAACAACATGAAGTATTTTCCTGATATCTTCAAAAAAGGTTTATTATCTTCCTTCCTACAGCACTTTAAAAAGTCTCAAGACAAATTATTTTAAACCTTAGTCTTAGAAAGCTAGATAGCCAGCAGCTTTTCTACTTCTTGATTTGGAAACAGCAAATTGAAAAACAGTACATATGTAATAGCTGATACTTCTCTGCTTTTGAGGCAACTGTTATTACCAGTTGGACAAATGCCCTGTGCACTCCCTGGTCATGTCAGTGCCGCAATACCCATATGGTGTTCTGAAACCTGAGAGATTGTTCAACAGCATATAAATAAGTGTCAGAAAGAAATGAACAAGGTCTTTCTTTTTTTTTTCCTCCCAGTTGAACACCAACAATAGCATTCTGCAACAAACCATTATTAGCACTGACATTATAGTAAAGGTCTACTAGTGTGTCAGGACTAGAAGAAGAGAGGAAGAGAATAAGGTAACAAATTTCATTCACTTAGCAAAGAGCAGGACTAGAATGTCAGACACGCTACAGACAGGAGTGTCACGCACTGCCAGATGTATTGAGGAAGGCAGCTGTTCACTGTTGCTGCCAAAACCTGAGCACAAAGCATTGGGGTAGTCTGAATACCACAAGCTCAGTACTAGTGGAAAACTGAAAAATTGGTAGTATTTCTTTTAAGTAAAAAGTATTTCTTTTTTTTTGCTGCAGGAAAGTTTTGGAGCTAAAAAATGAAATGTGCAAATATTGAAAGAATCAAGAGAACTTCTTGGTATACAGAACTAAAATATTCACAAAATATTTACATTATAACCACAGGAAAAAGGTGTTAAAATTTTCACTTACTTTGGATGGGCAAATTCATCTAGTAGGACAACCTTTTCAATCAAGTCTCCACCAATGGTTCGAACCAAATCATAGAAATCATTCTGAGAGTAGGTCTCAGAAGGCAGCCAGAAGGAAATGTCATTGATCAAAGGCGGATATCGGCTGAGTGGCTAAAAGAAATTTAAAAACATACCTTTATACGTGGTTGAACTTGATAATTATATCTACAACTGTTCTGAATTTACATAACACACAAAGTACAGAGTTTAGAGGCTTTTTGAAATGGTCTTTGAAGGGCAAACTGACCTCATAAACAACTGAGACAGAAGATTTTATACTAGGAAACGTCTTTTAAAGATCCCATCATAACAACTTTGGTTTATTCATTCATTCATAAGAAAAATCTTGGTTTTGTTTGCTAAAATCAGAGTTTATGACCCTGAACACACTTTTGCAACAGATCTGCTTAGAAGGAAGAAATAATGTCATGTAGTTTTTCACTGGTAAAATTGTATTTTTAAAAGCATTTTCCAGACTTTTTGCAGATTCAAAACTTCTTGTCACATTCAGGTATAAAACTTATATGCATTTTATAGGATTCTTATATTACACAACATATCTATTATTTTTACTGTCAAATTTTTAACAAAGTCTTATAAATAGGCACCTTCTTATTAAAATGTTTTAATAAGAAACACACTTAGGCTTAAAAGGAGGGATCAGTTCACTTTCTGGTGGCTTTTGTAGACATCCAAACATCTACAATAACACAAAAGGTATGGCTGTTAACACAGTTATTCACTCCACAAGTACCACAACAGGCTTTTAAACACAAAGGGGAACTTTTGCTGCACACAAAGAGTGGGCAGACAGTGTAACTTGTTATTTGTAAAAATGGGAAGAGAAAAAGAAATGAAAGCAGATAATTAACTTTTCAGTTTTGATGAAAACTTCCCAGGACTCTGTGAGTTTCAGATCTCACCTTTGGTGAGACATTTCGCCCTTTGAAGAACAGAAAATGGTAACATTCTCCTTTCATGACCTCTAGGTCACACAGTATCTTACTTCTACCTTGCATTCATTCCCTGCAGTTGAAAAAAGTACTTTTGCACAAGACTGTTGGAGTCTGCAGGAGAAAACATCTATTTTATTATTTTCTTTATATGTACAAGAGATTCCATGTGTACACCTTGGTCTATACAATATAATATCTCACTCAAAAATGTATTCCATGGCTGGGAATGTTTTATGACGGAGCAATGGAAACTTAAGTGAGTACCTGCTAAAGCAATCAACCTGTTAATAAGGCAAGTTTACAGCATTCTGATTTACTCAAATACTGTTCTGTAAAGTGCAAACTAGTCAATAAATATCTGATAAGGAATACAGTGCAAGTTTTAAATTAATAACGCCACCAGCAAATGAAATTGTGAATCGCAAATGATTATTGAACTTGTTAAAGGAATAAACTTGTCAAATGAATTCATATCCTGTACATCAAATTTAAAAAAGGAAACTTGCACAACAAATCCATTGCAAAAAAGCTTTTCATAAAGCAGTAATGAATAAAATGCAAATGTCTCTGCTACACAAAAGTCACAGCTGCAAATGCTGGACATGCTCCTTGGACAACAACCTGATACATGTGTTAGTGCAAATAAAGTTATAATCCTGCAGTAGACCCCTATATTCTCACCTCATTCCTATCTACTACTTTATTTGCCACTGCTGTAGTTCAGGAATATACTGAACACCCTTCAAAGCTTGGTGAGACTAACACAAAACCCACTGAACTCACAATTCAAGACATTTAATCATTCAACCAGAAGATGTGGCTCATGAGCCTTGGCATGATGAAGGCACCTGCTTTCATTCACACAGGTAGCTTTGGCAAGAAGTAATTGTCTTCACAGGGGCTAGCATGGGGCTGTGTTTTGGATTTGTGTTGAACACTGGGTTGGTAACACAGAGATGCTTTTGTTATTGCTGGGTGGTATTTGCACAGAGCCAAAACCTTTTCTGCTTTCTGTACTGCCACACTGGCAAGAAAGCTGGGAAATTTGGGAGGAGACACAGCTGGGACAGGTGACCCCAAGTGATCAAAGGGATATTCCAGACCATATGACATGCTGCTCAGTATATAAGGTGGGAAGAAGAAGAGGGAAGGGGGGAATATGTGGAGTGATGGTGTTTGTTTTCCCAGGCAGCCATCACATGTGATGGGGTCCTGCTCCCCTGGAGATGACCTGCCCATGGGAAGCAGGGAATTAATATATTGCATGTGCAGCTTTTTCTCTGTGGTGTCACTAGTGTGGATACAGAATTGTTGTCATTTCATGTGTGTATGCTTGTGTGTGTTACAAAGACTGGAAGGACAAATGCTCTAAAACATAATATAAGCATAACTTTTTATTATTAGCTACTAACCTTTTCTCAGAGCTTTCTAATACAGAAAAATCTTTTATGGTAAAAGGCAAGGCAATAATCCCATATTATATTGTCCCTTCACCACCTGGCTGCAGTCAATATCATTGCAGTAAGTCTTATATCAACACTAAAGTTAGTATAAGGATAAAATTCCTAGTTCTCAAATGCATCGATCTGTTTGTTGTAGAGCTCCATGAGTCACATAATAGTTTATTAGCTACACCTAAAATGTGAATAGGCTTCTAAAGAGTCTCCAATTGGCAGGCCAAAATGAAGTTCCTAAATTTGTATTCAGGCACTCCAGCAAATACATACTGTGGTCCAACAGACTGCTTCACCATTCTTTGATCCTTTCTAAACTCTCCCGCTCTTTAAAAGCAGACTGGTCCAAAGTCCATTGACTTTGGTCCTTTTTCAAGTTCAAGGCAAATGCCAACCCTAGAGACCGTTTTGTTATGAATTTACAGACATTTCAAAGGCTCCCCTTGAGAGAAATGTGTTCTTCCCACTAAATCTTCTACTCTGCTGTCGCCTCCAGCCACCACTTCCAGTTACATTCTCATGGCTCAGGAGTCCTGCAGCACAATGCTTGGAGAAGCTACTATAAAGGGATATTCCAGACCATATGACATGCTGCTCAGTATATAAGGTGGGAAGAAGAAGAGGGAAGGGGGGAATATGTGGAGTGATGGTGTTTGTTTTCCCAGGCAGCCATCACATGTGATGGGGTCCTGCTCCCCTGGAGATGACCTGCCCATGGGAAGCAGGGAATTAATATATTGCATGTGCAGCTTTTTCTCTCTGGTGTCACTAGTGTGGATACAGAATTGTTGTCATTTCATGTGTGTATGCTTGTGTGTGTTACAAAGACTGGAAGGACAAATGCTCTAAAACATAATATAAGCATAACTTTTTATTATTAGCTACTAACCTTTTCTCAGAGCTTTGTAATACAGAAAAATCTTTTATGGTAAAAGGCAAGGCAATAATCCCATATTATATTGTCCCTTCACCACCTGGCTGCAGTCAATATCATTGCAGTAAGTCTTATATCAACACTAAAGTTAGTATAAGGATAAAATTCCTAGTTCTCAAATGCATCGATCTGTTTGTTGTAGAGCTCCATGAGTCACATAATAGTTTATTAGCTACACCTAAAATGTGAATAGGCTTCTAAAGAGTCTCCAATTGGCAGGCCAAAATGAAGTTCCTAAATTTGTATTCAGGCACTCCAGCAAATACATACTGTGGTCCAACAGACTGCTTCACCATTCTTTGATCCTTTCTAAACTCTCCTGCTCTTTAAAAGCAGACTGGTCCAAAGTCCATTGACTTTGGTCCTTTTTCAAGTTCAAGGCAAATGCCAACCCTAGAGACCGTTTTGTTATGAATTTACAGACATTTCAAAGGCTCCCCTTGAGAGAAATGTGTTCTTCCCACTAAATCTTCTACTCTGCTGTTTCCTCCAGCCACCACTTCCAGCTACATTCTCATGGCTCAGGAGTCCAGCAGCACAATGCTTGGAGAAGCTACTAGGACACATCTGGTTCTGCAGGCTGGGTGTTGGCTGAACCCCAGCACACTACCAGAGCCTGGAAGCCCTGCTGTTCCTGCTTCCATGCCCTGATTGCCCCCTTAGGTTTTTGAGGAACTGAAAAGAGGTTTAGGAAATGACAGAACTGATCCTACTGTGGAGGCTGCTGCAGGGCACTGGCCAAGTGTCAGTAAGCACTGCTGATGCACAGACATCCCTGCACCCCTCCTTTTGGTTCCATCAAAGTTTTGGCACCACAGTGCTACTTTAAATGTTCTGTTCACTTTCTGTTTCAAACACTTCAGGGCACTATCACTGACATTTTTCAACAGCCCCAGAAAACAAATGCTTTCCCAGAAATTACACTATCTATAGGACTCCACTGAACTCATCTTGTAGGAAATATTGGACATAATGACATCACATTTTTCAATCACCCAAAGTGAAAGCATTTAGGAGTGTTGAATTACTATAATTTCTCTAAATAATAAAATGGAAGTTTATGATGATCCACCCTCAATGATATATGTTTACTAGTCATTAATCAAAGTTCTTTCTCTGGCTAATAAATAACCCAAGTATTTCCTAAAACTGCAAGCTTTTACCTCTCAGGATGCTAACTTTAGTACAGAAATGGGTAGTTGGGACACCAGCGCTATAACCTGCTCTGCCAGCCTGCCTTGCTTATGCCTACATGTGCCTGAGGAGCACCATTTTAGTGCACCACTAAAAACACAGGGCTGTTAGTCTTTCATAGGGGTTGGTGATAGCTCAGGGCATTGCTCATCTCTGCCTCTGTGCTCTGCCTTTCTGTCTGAGATTACTGCCCCTCCAGCAGCTGATAAAACAAACATGTGCCTGTTCCTTCACCACTGCAGATCACAGCCTGCTGTAGCCAGCTGAAAATTGTCCCTCTGATTGGTTTATGTTAATATGTGCGGGATGAAGAATTGCAGCTGCTCGAGTTATTGGGAGACAGCTCTCTTAAGCAGCAACAGGATCCATGAGAACCCATTTGCCAGCATAAAATAGCAAATACATGGGCTCTGTGTATGTTGCCACACCAGGGCACTACTGGAATCAAGTGGTCACCATAAGAGTGGTGTCTGTTCATCCACACATGGCAGAGGATCATTAGCTGGATCCAGATACCTCACAGCTGTAAGGGAGAGAAACCTCCTTTCTGAGAGCAGAACCTCCCAAGCTGCA